AGGATCATCTGCTCCCAGATGCATACAGGCCTATCTCGCTTCTGGGGGTGGATGTCAAGATTCTTGCTAAAGTGCTAGCTCTGCGACTGTCTAAAGTCGTTTCTTCCATTGTACATGCTGATCAGACAGGCTTTATGCCACATAAATCCACAGCAATGAATATCCGAAGAGTATACCTTTTAATATGCAGGCCCCTATTGATGCCTCGGAGGGTAGGGCCCTCTTAGCGCTAGACATAGCGAAAGCTTTCGATAGCGTAGAATGGTCGTATTTATGGGCCACGTTATCTGCCTTTTGGATTTGAATCGGGCTTCATTGCATGGGTGGCGCTGTTGTATCAAGACCCGTCGGCACAGATCCGCATGAATGGGGCCCTCTCCTCTCCATTCAGATTGCAGCGGGGCAATCTCTCCCCCCTCCTCTTTGCCCTGGCCATGGAACCTCTGGCTGCCATGATACAATCCTCCTCTGAGATTAGGGGTTTTGCCAGGGGCACTGAGGAGGATAAAATAGCCCTATATGCAGACGATACGCTTCTCTTCCTGGCAGACACCCATGCCTCTCTCACTACGGTTATGTCAAGACTCTCAGAGTTTAGACGGCTTTCGGGTCTCTGTCAACTGGTCCAAATCCTCCCTGCTCCTTTTGGATCCCCTGCAGGCCCCACTGCCCCCTACGGCATCGCACATACCTATTGTGTCTCACTTCACATACTTGGGTGTCCATATGTCCGCAAATCCCTACGCTTTTGTAGAGGACAATTTGCTCCCATTATTATCTAAACTAACTGTGCAATGTAAAGTATGGAAGAAACTCCCCCTGTCGGTGGTGGGTAGGATTAATTTGATCAAAATGATCTGGATGCCCCAAATACTTTATTTTCTACATAATTCCCCATGCTGGATCCCGCAAAATGTCTTCCGGAGGATCAACTCCCTATTTAGGGATCTCATCTGGAATGGCAAACCCCCTCGTATTAAGTTAGAATTCCTTCAATACCCCAAGGAGCAGGGGGGACTGGCACTTCCCAACCCATGGGCATATTTTCTGGCAGCGCAACTGCAGCATCTGGCAGGCTGGTCTCTCACTGAGGACCTCCCTGCCACTGCTAGGCTATTTACACACATGTTCCGATCTCAAGCCCCAATGTCGCTCCTAGACACCGCTTTGCTGTCCAGATCTGATTTTCCTATGCCCAGACTACTGGCAAGGGTGTGGGTGTCTGTCAGGACCTTGTGGGGGCTCTCTGAGGTTACCACTATTACCCCTTTGTGGGATAACAGTAAATTGCCTGAAGTACAAAAATTAAGGGACTCTGTTACCTGGGAAAGAGAGGGAATACATCTTATCTCTCAGATCTATGAAAACAGTGTACTGTGTACGTTCCAGCAACTCCAAGCCAAGTTCAACCTAAAGAGGAACCAATTCTACCAATACCTTCAGTTGAGACATGCCCTTTCGGTACACCCCGGGGTTGGCCCGATACACATATCCAAGGTGCCACTTCTTGAACAGATCGCATCATCCACACATACCAAGGGAGTTGTCTCATTATTATACACCCACATACTCTCCCACTTTTCAAGTAAATATCCACTTAGGTGCAGGTCAGCGTGGGAGGGGGACCTGGGTGCCCTTACGGAGGAGGAGTGGGGTGCTGCTTTAGCCGCGGTGGGGGCCTCTTCCTTATCCGCCTCTCATAGGCTGTCTCGGCTCTTCATCTTACATCGAACATACCGCACCCCGGAGTTCCTCCTTAAAATTGGATTTCGTTCAGACTCCAAATGTCCTAAATGTGGTATTGAGCCAGGGTCCCTTATACATTTGCTATGGCGCTGCCCCAAACTAGTGAGATATTGGACTGAGGTGGTGAGATGTCTCAATTCCATTTTTACGCTCCAACTCCCCTGCTCTCCGCTGGTCTGCCTCCTCGGTGTGTTTGACACCTCCGATTGGGACAACTACACCGTGGAGGCTGTTTCTAGGGCTCTATTTGCAGCCAGGAGGACTATTGCCCTCCTTTGGATGTCACATGTCGCACCAAAGGTAGAGACCTGGAAGGCGGAGTTGGACCGTATTATAGCCCTGGAAAAAATAACATATGAGCATAGGGGAACTCTGCATAAGTTCTATAATATCTGGGACAGGTGGAGGGCTAGGCCCGCATAGACTATTGGAGATCACTAGGTGCATTGGAGGGCGTGAGGAGAGGACTGGAGGGCTCAGAAGGTAAATGAATGGTAGAGGTCTATGCTGCGCATTGTATTGGAGGTATGGAATATGACCACAGGGCCATGGTACAGGGTGAGAACGCAGGATGCGAGTCTTGTATATCCCCCATCGCTGACCTCATCAGGGCACAACTTGTTGTCAGTGGCATATGCATCTATAATTTTTCTTCTGAACATACTAGTACACAGGGAGATGTTCTCCGGGCTTATTCCCCCTAACTGCTTCTTATAATCTACATCTGCAGGATACATGGTGGACCACATGGCTATGTTTTTTTTGGTAGTTAGCTGTTTTTTGTTTTCTATTGACATAACTATGTATGACATGGATATATGTATGTGATGTCAATTATGTTTTGCAAAAAATCTGTTTTAAAAACTCCAAAATGTTAATAAAAAATATCTGATTTAAAAAAAAAAAGTTTACAAAGCCAGCCACATAGGAAAGAAATTATTTTCTTAATCTTCAATTTATATGGCATCAGAATATGTACCCCTTGCAGTAACAGTTGTCCCATTCATATTAGTCCTTCCCTATTGATAAATGCAGTACAACACCCCTACAATAGTAATTCAAGTACATACACTATCAGATGTAGGTAATCCCAGTTACAACTGGAACAGTTTAATGTAAAAAATGTACACTTGTGCATTCCTTCGAAAATGTTAATTAATAATTTCATTATGTAAAGCAGATAGTGTAGTTGAACTATTTGCCATTTGAAATCAGACCTTTTTGGAGGGACTTCCAGTCCTGGTATGGGTAACCTAATGGTTGAGGTAATTGGCAGACGTTATTCAGTTGCCTTACACAGCAAGAGATACAGTGGGCATGTTATGGTGTTTGATAGTCCGAACAACAGCTTTGGTGTAGGTTGTGTGTTGATGTCATCTAGCTATGTAGAGAAAAAAGGGTAGTTGGATTAAAAAATCATGTTTGGTAAAGCCTTTGATACAGTATCCCTCAAGTGTTTAATTTACAAATTAATGTATCTTGGCATTGAAGAACTTGTATGTAGATAGGTAGAAAACTGGTTACAGGAATGGATCTACAGGGTAGTGATAAACAGTTTATTTTCAAAATGGTCTAAAGTTACATAGTTACATAGTATTTGAGGTTGAATAAAGACATTAGTCCATCAAGTCCAACCTATTAGGATCTCATTCTAGGAGTACCTGTACCCCTGTATATTACGGTCCCTTAAGAAATCGTCCAAAAGTTTCTTGAACAATTCCACATTATTTGCTGAAATCACCGCCTGTGGCAGTGAGTTCCAGATCCTAACTGATCTTACTGTGAAGAACCCCCTTCGCCCCTTGTGCTGGAATTTTTTTTTTCCACCAATTTTAGGTGGTGGCCTTTAGTTTTTGTAATGGAGTTCATTTTAAACAGTTTATCGCTAATGTTGCTACCACCATTGAACATTTTGTACATGGAGATCATATCCCCCCTTAATCTCCTCACCTCCAATGTGAACATGTTTAAATTTAGTAGCCT